CATTTTACTTTAATCTACTTTCATTGCTTTTACCGGTTGTTTGGCGCAGATAGCCTAGCTGCTTTGAGCCATAAAACACCAACCAATCAACTACTATCACCTCCAGTCTCATCTAACTAGTCATCTTGTGGTGATCCATTCAGACAACTCCACTGTCGTCACTTATGTCATCTGAAAAGGAAGCACTTGATCTTGGTACTTCTGCTTTCTAGGCCTGGATTTTAAAATTTGGGCCTACAATTACCACATTTAGTTGTTGACCTGTCATGTTTCAGGAGCTTTGAACCTGGTGGCTGGTTGACTATCTTAATTAGACTGGATCCTTCCTGTGGAGTAGTCTTTCCATCTTCTGACGTTTCAGAGGATTTGTTCCTACTTTGGTAGCCCTCTTATCAATGTCTTCACAACTCCCTCAACATCAAATACTTTAAACAGTTAGCTGACTGAAGAATTCACAAGAATGCATTAGTAGCATCACTGTTGCATATTCTTGAACTTCATATACAAATAAGGAATCACTGTGTGAATAAGATATCTCAAAACACCATACATATAATATATATACTCTACCACTATATGAAGCCTAGTTTGTTTGTTGTTTTTTTTTCAACTTGCTCTTGTCTAGGGTTACTGCGGAGAGGTAAATTTTCCAGAAACCTGTAAAACTCAGTGACAAGTGGTAAGTCAAATTATTGGGCTTTATACATTTTGTATTTTAAACAGCTTGTCAGCTGAAGCACTATTAGTATCAGTGCTGCATTATTCTTGAAATTCCTATATAAATATAGGGTTTCTGTATTAATAAAATACATTTCAAAACATCATATATACAGTATTTATTTCTTCTAGAAGTTTACTGCAGTTGTTAAAATGACATGCTTAGCTTGTATCAGCTGTTTACTTGTTTGATTAGGGGAAGTTATTTTTGATGGGGAGCATGAGGAACACCCTCCAGACTTTATTTTTGATGATACAGAATTCCTTCCCAATATAGAAGATGTGCATGTAAGTCAATTTATAAAGCTTTTGGTATATTGCTAAAGATTCAAATTAGTTTCATGTTGTGAAAACAATGTCTATTTGATTACGTTGTATAATTCTAAGAACCATTTTTTTATAAATTAAAATGTTGCTGTTTTTTTATATTTAAATCACTTCATGCATGACTGTATAAAGCATTTTTTTAATGAATATTTGGTTAGTATAACTAGTAATACATTGAAATATCTGTAATCATGCAAGAACAGATTAAAACTGATAATTAACCACATGAATTGCTGTGATGTGAACCCTTCCTTTGGACTTGCTTCTTTAGATCAAAAATAGGACTTATTGTTAGACCTTTTGTACAAAGATTGTTAAAGGTTCTGAATCCATAAAGAAAAACTGCAAGCAGTAAGATCAAAGGACACACATTTACAACATGGACAATTTAGGCATGATTCCAGTTAAAGTTTATCTGTTATGGTGGTCAACTTATGGAGTAGTTTGCTTTTGAGTATGGTAGAAGCTACAATGTTGAAAGAGATTAGGAGATGGGGCAAGCGTTTTGAAGAGTTTTTATTTATATATTGTTTGGAATAGGTTGGTAGTAGAAAATGGGATAGTCTAGAAGAGCTAAATGTTATGTCTTGACTTTACAGAGTTTGTGTGAATGGACACCAAGAGACACTTCATGTTTACTTCGGTCAGTCCATGAACTGCTAGACTTGTATCGAAAAAAAACAGCATCTCAGCTAAAGGACTTTTCAAGACTTCAGTTTGAATATTCCTCCTTGCTACACCAAGCCGACCTCACAGAGAGTGATGTGGAAGTTTTATTTAATCGAAAGGTAAATAGCACAGTGTAAAATTTAAGGAAGATTATAAACTATTTAAGACTATCCTGCTGGATTTCTTGAATTGGTTAGTGTCTTTAGTATATGTAATACGTATTATCTATAACAGAATAAAATACGTGTAATTGCAGGTGGTGTGGGGGTAAGGACATACAGTATTTGTGAAGTTGGTGTGGGCTGGTGTAATATAGAGATGTACAGAATGTGAAGACGATGATGTTAAAAGTGTATGTTGGTATGGTATTCATGTCCACTGATAAAGGACATGTAATGGGTAATTTTCTGGTTCATGGATTTACCTCAGAGTTGTCAGTTAGGGTCTGCTAATTGAAAGTTAAAGGATACCAAGTCATGGAATGTGCTTTTCTATGAACTCTGACCAAATACATCTTAGAGAAAAATACAGGACACAAATTTAAAAATCCACCAACCTTTTTTCATCACAAAAATACAATACAAAACAACACTACAAAAGGGCACGTGTGTTTAGTGGATATGTAGAAATGGTAAGAGATGTGAAAAAAAACCTATAATAGTTTCTCTCACCAGTTCAGTATGTTCCCTCCTTGTAACTTACACTAAACCAAGTTAAGTTAAAGATAAAGTAAAACAAAGGAACCCTAACAAGTTAAGCTAACTATAAAACAATAATACATATGCTTAAGCTGTCATTGAAGCCAAACTGTAACTTTCTCAAAAGTTGGGTGTCTGCTACAATCCAAAGTTAGTTAATGGCAATGTTAAACTCAAGTCAACGTGCTACAAGTTTATTGTTTCTAAGTCAAGATAAAACCTAGCTTTAAGTACAAAAACATTAACATTAAACAAACCAGGCTTGCACATTGACCCACATTTTGTTACCATATGTGTAAAGCATCACCACCTCTGACAAGGTTGTTGGTTGTACAGAGTAAAACTTTTGTTTCAATGTTTCACCAAATTTACCAGCCATCATCAGGAGAGATACAAGAACTGAGGCTTACAGAAATTAAAACAGAGAATCACATGAGTGTCCATAACATTAATAATCTACATTCAGCAGTTGCTTAAGTAATGAAATATTTATAAATGAACTGCCAAATATACAAGTATAAAAATAAAGCTCTATATACAAGAACACTTTTGTATTTGTTAAAATTAGGTTTTGTTTTTTATTTATTATTATTTTTTTTTGTTAACAAGGCTTCTTTATTTTTTTCTATTAAGTTATTTTTTTACTGAGGATTTTTATCTTAAGAGAATCAAAAGAATGATAATTTCTAGATGTGTTCAAAATCTTGAGATAGAGATTTTAAATGTTACCACAAACAAGTAAAAAGATGTCTGTTTGTCTCTCCATTATATAATACCTTTTGCAATTTGTACATTATATCATATAAACATTTCTGAAGTATCATTGTTTATATACTTTTAAATAGAAGTTGACATTGACTTAGCTTTTTTGCAGTTAAAAATGTTAATTGTACTTTAATATCAATTTAATATTATTTGATTGGTTTTGACTTTTGTGATTGCATGAGGGAAGTTGGGATGAAAAGTATAACGCAATAAATTGAGATATTTGTAAAAGGTTTATTTTCTAAGTCAGTTTGTGACTTAGTTTTAAATGAAGAGTTACTTGATTAAAAACAGTGGGAGGTAAACTGTTTTGTACACAAAATCACACTTGTTTAAAAAAAAAAAAAGAGAAATGGTTTTACTCTTTACACTCAATAAAAACTTGCCTGAAATTTAAGTAATTGTTCTTTCTAACATGTAATTCATGTAAGAAAAACAACTGTTTTTCACACAGCATTACAAGTTATCTTTCCTGTAAAAGAATATGGATAATAGCTAATTAATGAATACATGTTTTATGCACACGAGAGAAAGGAAAAGTTAAGTTAATTACTTGAGTGCCTCGCTGTGTCCACACTGAAAATGATGATAATAGAAGAAACATTTACATATTGATTAAGAGGATGGACTAATGCATAGTGTAGTTCTGTCCACGCTGAGAACAATGAAATACACAATATTTAAAAAAAAAGTTAACTATGAGGAGAAGGGAGCTAATGCATATTACAGCCCTGTACAAAATAAGTTCAAAAGTATATGCAAAACACAGATTCAGGAAATGTTATGTAGAGAATAAATTGAACATGGACAACAAAGGAAAGAAACAAATGCAAGTGAATAAATAAACAAAATCTTTATTTACACTAGTTGTTTATTGTAATTACTTGTCAGCTTGAGTCTTTCCTATGACTTACTATGTCCACTCAGGACAAAGCAGATTCTAATGTACCACAAAAAATTCAGACAAAACATTAACATGTAGTATACCAGAAGAAAAACCTTAATTCATATTGATTTACACAAGTATCTGAACCACCCCTTTGAGATGGGCTTGACCCTCCCTATGTGGTTCAGGCACATTGTCAAAGTGATATGAATTTCTAGTCATTGGCATATTCAACTTTATCTGACTACGAAGATTAGTATGTTAATAACTTTTGACATCCTTTAAATAGAATGCTATATTACTTACATGCATAAAAATTTTGAAAATTTATTAAAATTTACCTGACTATATCTGATTAAAGATATATTCTAAACTAGTAATCAAAGGGTGAAATTCATGACTATTTCTGACAGTACATAAATAAGGACTTACAGACTACTGCTGGAAGGAAGTTAATAGGATGTTGAGGAACTTCTGACATAGTTTTCCTAATTGATTATTTAGAACTTCTGATTAACTTTATAAGTTAATAATATAGAAAATTAACACATAAATGAAAACAGACTCTTTAACAAACTAACTGGCAATAGTAAATATAAGGAATGAATAAATAAGAAAAATAATTCCTGTATTGGTGAAGATTACATTAAGTCATCAGATGCTGTTAATGACTGTAAAAGTAATAACATCTCAAGGTTCAGACGCTTAGGAGATTTAGGTCTGAAATTCATATACTAAGATATCCATGCAAAATAATCTTCATAAATGTATTTATAAATAAAGGAATTAGTAAAAAATATTTCACACACTACAACAATGAATATAACTATAAATAAAAATGGTATAGGTTACTAATAACAAAACTTATAAATACACCAGTTTGCTATTAAGATATACAATTTGACAACACGTCAAACGGTAGTGTACATCTAGCATCAGAAACTAGTGTTGCATGTTATATGACGTATTTAAACTGAAAAGCAGGAAATGAAATTACTGTTTAGACTTAAAAGATATTGTGTAGAAAGGCTTATAAAATTTGTTTCTTTTCTTAACTAGACAACTCAAACTGATGAATGGGGAAAAAAAAAAGAGATCAACAGTTAGTTTAGGCACTTCAAAAATCTTAGCTGGAGAGGTTATAAGGTTTATTGAGTAATACTAAAAATGCCAGTTGTCTTTGATTTGCATTTTATGAACTGAATTTAATGTTAGATTGATAAGCAATGATTTATAAGCATAATGAAGTGTTTTTACTTTGGAGAACATAATATCTGAAGAAAACAGACCATTGTTCTGCCGAAACAAGTAGTATGCTCCCCAACATAAAACCACTTTGTTATGATATAGATCATTCTTTTTTCAGTTTACTTTTATATTATCATAATGTGCTTCTATACACAAGTGTGAACTGAACTTAAAAGTATGTGACATATATACATTAAAGACCAAAAAAAAAGGTTAAAAGTGTTTAAAAAAAGGAAATGGAAAAACATCACAGCATATTTTTAACAGCTGGTAACATTTTACTTTGTTTTTACTTTTTACATCTGTTTGTACTTAATGTCATTCAGAATGGCAGAAATGAGTGGTACAGAATAGATATCAAAGATACAGGAGTGAGTGGTACAAAATGAATGGTACAGATTGAATAGTAACGGTTATATCTAATGGCATTCAAAATGGCAAGAATTAGTGATACAGAATGAATATAAAAGTAGCAGGAATGACTGATACAGAATGAATGTCAAAGTGGCAGGAATGACTGATACAGAATGAATATAAAAGTAGCAGGAATGACTGATACAGAATGAATATAAAAGTAGCAGGAATGACTGATACAGAATGAATATAAAAGTAGCAGGAGTGACTCATACAGAATGAATATACAAAATGGCAAGAATAAGTGTCACAGCATGATTGTCAAAATGGCAGGAATGACTGATACAGAATG